ACAAATATTGAGTTTGGCCCCTAATGTTGGCCCTGGTGTAGGTTAAGACTGTGTTAAATCAGATGACCTAGTCACATGACTTGTGGCTCGGCTCTTCTTTATCCTGTAGCTGGTGGACAGGAGAGTGGTCAGAGTGCAGCCGCAGCTGTAACGGGGGCCTGCAGACTCGGGATGTTTTATGTAAAAGAAGGATTTCAGCCACTGAAGAGAAAGTCCTGGATGACCTGGCCTGTAACCTCCCTCGACCCTCGCTCACTGAGCCCTGCAGCAACCACAGCTGCCCTCCAGAATGGCTGGCCCTGGACTGGTCTGAGGTCTGTAGACGTCAGGGGGCGGCCATCATAGATGTCATCTCTTGACTTTTAAGTGCTTCGTCCTGATTTTGTCTCTTCTTCCTTCTCTGTTTCCTGACCTCCTGCTGCAGTGTACCCCCAGTTGTGGGCCAGGCTACAGACACCGTGTGGTTCTGTGTAAAAGTGGTGAGAGTGGTGAGGCGCTGCCCGAGTCAAAGTGCGCAAAGCAAGGCAGACCCACCTCCAGAGTGCGCTGCAACCTAAAGCGCTGTCCCCCACCTCAGTGGGTGACTGGTCCCTGGGGGGAAGTAAGTCCATTTTTGCCTGTTGTATCAGTTCCTACAACAGTGAAAATCGGTACTTGTGTTTTTAGATGCTACTTCCTCTGTGTTGCAGTGTTCTGCCAAATGTGGACTGGGCCAGGAGATGCGTTCTGTTCAGTGTCTGGCCCACACTGGACAACCGTCCAATGAGTGTATGGACCATCAGCGACCTGCAGCCATGCAGCAGTGCAAGAGCAAATGTGACCTCAGTCTGCCCATCAGCACGGACAACCCTGAAGGTCAGAGGTCACAGAACGCCTTTGTTTGTTTGTATCTTGTGCAAAGAAATTCATGAAATACTGTTGAAAAATAAAATTCAGTAACAAGAAGGAAATTAATTAATCATGTACATGTATTCTCCTGAATATTTAGTTTATATACTTGTATTTTACTTCTCCTGAATATTTAGTTTATATACTTTATGTATTTTAGTATACTTGTATTCAGTCTATTTTTACAGCATAAAAATTCAAATTGAAAGATTTGAATTTGAATTAAATTGATCAGTTTATATTTTGTAATAATTACAATACGGTCATCATAAGTTGTGACAATAAATAATACATTAACTGTCATTTGCAACCTTTAATTTTAATGTTAAAAAATTGACTTCTAAAACAAAACAAACTCTTGCTTTATTTTGCTATTTTCTTTGTGTTTGACATCCTACAGAGTGTAAAGATGTGAACACTGTGGCCTACTGCCCCCTGGTGCTCAGGTTCAAGTTCTGCAGCCGGCCTTACTTCAGACAAATGTGCTGCAAGACGTGCCAGGGACACTGAGGAGACCGTGAAGCTCACAAACATTGTCCACGTCCCACTGAGCCACACCACACGGCAGCCTTCACTTTACCTCTGTCAGAGGGGGGCGCTGTTAGACTGACTTGGTCATATTCACATCACTGGTCAGGGGAGACCATCTCTGGACCTGAAGCCTTCTGGGTCCAGCTGGGTCAAATCAGCCTATGTGGGGTTTTTATATTCCACTGGAGGCAGGGCTGCTGAAACCTGGAGAGACAGAGTGGGGGAGAAACCAGTGTCCTCCGTCCTCCCTCTCTCTCTCTCTCTGTCTCACTCTCTCACCCTCACCCTCACACCCATTCTTTCCCTCATCGTTTTGGTGCTACATATATTGCACTTTGGCCACAGGACTGGTCACGGTATGAGTTTGTATTTGCTTCAGTGGCCTCGAGTTTTTAAACCTTGTAATCTTAAATTCAAAATATAGGAAAAAAATCCACTTTGTAAAAAAAAAAAAAAACCCAAGATTTTTCCAACTATATTTGCTCTTGAAAACAGATATGTTATATGTTAGAGAATGTTAGATTTGTCTGTATCTCAACTGATAGTTGTGACTTGATACAGTGTCTTGTGCTAATACTTTGTGTTGTTGGAGCTGTGTGTGTGTGTGTGTGTTTGGGTTCTTCACGTCTAGGTATATACAGTACATATACACTTTTTCAAACAAAAAGGCCACAGTCTTGCCATTTCGGTCATTTTTGTCACACTGCACACACCACCCATCAGTCGGTGCTCATATTACAGGACTCTATACTGTTGTGGATGGAGGATGGCGTAGTCTCCATTAATCTGTGATCACTCACAGCTACAGCTACTGTCTTTGGACATTTTTCATTTGTTTTTCATTCAGTTAAGGAGACGTATTTGCACGTGTTTCCACTCACACTTCAGAACAGGAAACCTCTCACTGTCGAAGATTTCTGTCACAGCTTCATTTCCGAACATTGAGCACAGCAATCAGTGACCTCTGTCCACAGTGTATGTGATGAACAAGTCTGACTCTCAAACTTTCATACGGACTTTTTTTTTTTTACCATTTGTCAAACACAG